AAGCTGTGCTGGGAAGTGATGGATGGAAGGCTGATCTTCACTGAGATCCGAGTGGCCCATCAGCAAAACAGAGCACGCATGTGCCAATCCATTCTCTATTCAGGGATGTGGTGGGTGCTGGGGAATGCAGCTGCCATGGGCCACAGCAGCCTAGTGCTGTCTCTTTTTCTCCCAGAATTTCCTGATGCTTGGAGCAGATGTTCACTTCCAACCCCAGGCATGAAAATAAGGTGATGAGAGCCCTTCAGCACAAAATATGTTCCATTCTCCACTTGCCCTTCCCTGCCCTGATCCCAGTGCCAAAGATTACTGCGCCTGCCAGTGCTCTGCACTGCTGCCTTGGCCTGGACCCTCATACCTCCCGCTGGGGCCTCACCTGGTGCTACCATGAGCTGGGGGTGCCCTGTCCCGAGCCACTCCCCCCCTCCTTCCTCTGAGCAGCAATAAAGGTGTTGGTGATGGGGCCTGAGTGTCAGTGTCACTGTCTGTGCTTGGGGCTGCACTGGGACAGATGTGAGCTGGAGCTGGAGCTGGAGCTGGAGCTGGAGCTGGAGCTGGAGCTGGAGCTGGAGCTGGAGCTGGGTGGGGACCACTTGGTTTGGCTGTTTCCATGGCCATGGTGAGGCACCATGGAACACCTGTGTCCCACTGGCCTGTCCCTTCACTCCAGCCTTGGAGCAGCGTGGTTGGAAAGAGCACAGTGGAAAAGGCCCTGCCCTGCTGTCCAACAGCAGCTGAACATGAGCACCAGGTGGCCAAGAAGGCCAGGGGCATCCTGGCCTGTATCAACATGGCCTGTAACCAAACCAAGGAAGGGATTGTCCCCCTGGCATGGGTGAGGCCCACATCTCAAGGCCTTTGTCCAGTTCTGGGTCCCTCGCTCCAAAATGGACATGGAAGTGCTGGAGCATGTCCAGAGAAGAGCACGGGAACCAGGGAAGAAGCTGGAGCACCAGGAGAGGCTGAGGGAGCTGGGGGCTCAGCCTGGAGAAAAGGAGGCTCAGGGGGGACCTTCACACCCTCACAACTCCCTGACAGGAGGGGGCAGCCAGGTGGGGGTCAGGCTCTGCTTCCAGACACACAGCAATAGGAGAAGGGGACATGCTGCACCAGGGGACTTTTAGGTTGGATATTAGGAAAAACTCTTTCACAGAAGGGCTCATTAGATCTTGGAATGGGCTGCCCAGGGAGGTGGTGGAGTCACGGTCCCTGAAGGTATTTAAGGGAAGACTGGACATGGCGCTCAGTGCCCTGCTGTAGTTGACATGATGATCCTGGTCACAAGTTGAATTCGATGGTCTTCGAGGTCTTTTCCAACTGAATTAATTCTGTGATTTTGTGATTGCCGCGGCGGCGCCGCCCAGCCGCGGGGCGAGCCCGGAACGTGAGAGGGGC